TATTAATATTGATTTTAAATAAATAAGTACAATTTAATTAAAAAAATTAATTTATAATCCTTGGTGCCCACGGGTTATAACCTAGTGTATATATATATATATATATATATATATATATATATATATATATATATATATATATATATATATATATATATATATATATATATATATATATATATAACGTTAACTTTTAAATTTTATGAAGTTTGCTTAAATTTTGATTAAAAGCTTATGTGATGTTCGCCAAAAACCCATGGTGTGTTGCCAAAAAAACTTGAATTTTTAAGAAATATACATCTAATTGAAAAATCAATAAATAATTATATTTGTGTTATATTAATATATTAATTATACTATGTGTCTATGTCACCAAAAAAATTATATATTCTTATGTAGTTTCTAAGTGTTTTTTTATATAGTTTTTATTTATTTTTTCTTATTTTATGATGTCATATTTTTAATATATTCATTATGTAATATTAGGTAAAATAAAGTGGCTTTTAGTCTAAGTTGAGAGTCCAAATCTTATTGGAGATATTGATTTAAAAAAAAAAAACATTATATTTGTTGTTACAAAAATAAATAAATAAGTAAAACAAAGTCACAAACATACAAATGACATTTAACTTATCAAAGGTACCATGATCATATATGTGCTTACCTTATGTTTGTTTGAAAGAAAAAAATATATTAGCTATTATGTTGCTCTTGAATTTTTTTTTTTTCATTTAAATATCAACATTAATTATGTTTATAACATGCTTGGTAATCGTTTGATTATCTTTTGATAATAGTAATTATATGCTCCATAAACTTTTATTGGCCATTGGCTTTTACTACAAGAGTCAAACCTATCTTGGAAGTTGTATAATTTTCTAATGGTTTTTTTTTCCCGGGATTATCTAAAAATACACCCTATTCTTCTGTATAGACACCCTATTTGATACAAAAATTAAGAAATCACTCGATAATTTTCTTGTTATTGTACTATTTTATTTTATTAATATTTCTTTTAACCGTAGGTAATACCAAGAGACAACTATTGGATCTGAGAAAATTTCCATACTTTCTTTAATTTTGAATTCCGATAGCTCAAAGGAAGGATTAATTGAAAATTTCACATTAGGGATCTTGATTTTTTGCACTATTTAGATACCCCAAGTCTTTGATTTTTAATAGAAACTCAATTTAAGCTTTCCAACTATTCAGCTAGAGGGTGTTTGGAATTGCTTTTTAGCTTAAAGGACTTTTTAATTTATAGCTTTTCAAAAGTAGGTTTTAAAATGTATTTAGATTAGTTTTTGAAGGAACAAAGGTTAAAAAGGCTAAAAAACCAAAAATCATAAATTGTAACTTTTAAGATCATAACTTTTTTTTTCTTGCCAAAAACAAAAAAATCATTTTAAAAGGATTTTTATAATTGACAAAAAACTTTTCAAATTTTTAGCTTCTTGAGAAAACCAAAAATTTTAAAAATCATTTTAAAAGTTATCCCAAACATCCTCTTAAAATCCATCTACTTTCTAACATAAGTAGCATATTTTTAACAATATTAAATCTAAAAAATAATTATTAGTTAAGAAACCACAATGAAATAACCAAGAATGCAATTAGTCACTACAAGAAAACAAAGCATTAGCGGCGATAGCCAACAATAGCGGCGACACGTAAATGACGCGTTATTGCTGGCCGTTAATGCTTTGTTTCAGTGATCCGCGGCATTCTCATCCATCTGTTCGATTTGTTTTCAATCTAACGGCTGTTAAGGAAAGCGGAAAGGCGCGTTGAGTTTTCCATCCACTTGTCGCCGCTAATGTCCTAATGTCGCCGCTATTGCCCTAGGGTCGCTGCTAATACTCGTCGCCGCTAATGCTAAACGCAGATATCCCCCTCACAACTTACCTTTCTGCTATTCTTTTCTTACCTTTCTCTCGTTTTTTCTTTAACATCACGAATTTTCCCAACTTGGTGGACTAGGCATTGCTTCTTGGACCGGTGCTAGCTTCTCCTTCCCTCAAGGCAGCCACAATATCGTCACAACCCCAACCAAGGTCGACATTTAGCCAAAATTCCAAAATTGCCCCAACCAAGGTCGAATTTCTCATCTTTTTTATGATTTTTCTGTTTTAGATGATAAATAGTGAGTATTTTTCAAGTTTGTTGAGTGATTATGTTTGTATTTTGATATATGAATTGGTTATGCATCTTGTTGGATTGTATGTATTTTGTTGGATTGTGTGTTTTTTCGCATTTGTGGGAATTTTATTATGCATTTTGTGTATATTTTAAAATTTATGTTTAGATTACATTCAAGTATAAATTAAAAAAAAAAAAAAAAAAATTTAACATGAATATATACATTTGTATGAAATTGGATGAAATTTAGATGTATATATATGTATATATTTGTATGAAATTGGATGAAAGTTATACCACATTGCCTTAACATGAAATTTAGATGTATATATTTACCGCCACAACCCCAACCAAGGTCGACATTTAGCCAAAATTCCGAAATTTCCCCAACCAAGGTCGAATTTCTCATCTTTTTTATGATTTTTCTGTTTTAGATGATAAATAGTGAGTATTTTTCAAGTTTGTTGAGTGATTATGTTTGTATTTTGATATATGAATTGGTTATGCATTTTGTTGGATTGTATGTATTTTGTTCGATTGTGTGTTTTTTCACATTTGTGGGAATTTTATTATGCATTTTGTGTATATTTTGAAATTTATGTTTAGATTACATTCAAGTATAAATTAAAAAAAAAAAAAACATTAACATGAATATATACATTTGTATGAAATTGGATGAAATTTAGATGTATATATTTGTATATATTTGTATGAAATTGGATGAAAGTTATACCACATTGCCTTAACATGAAATTTAGATGTATATATTTGTATGAAATTGGAATATGTAAATTGAATGTATACATTTGACTTAATTATATGAAATTGGATGAAATTGGAATATGCAAATTGGATTAAATTGGAATATGCAAATTGTATGAAATTGGATATATACACTTGGCTTAATTGTATGATATCAAAAGAGTATTAGCGGCGACAGCTTTTGTGGCGACACCATCGTATTAGCATCGACAACATATTAACGGCGATGAGTAGCATTAGCAACGACGAGTAGCATTAGCGGCAACTACTAGTATTTGCGGCGACATTGAGCGTATTAGCGACGAAACAATATCGGCGACGTATTTGCAGCGACATGTCGCCGCTAAAGGTACTAGCGGTGACACACCTAACCTTTAGCGGTGACACGTGTCACCGCTGTTGCCCAATCTTCTTGTAGTGAGTGATTCTTAAATTGACATTTGACTAGGATCGCATTTCCAATTTATGTATAAAATATATAAATAAAACACTAAAACACTCGACCTCATTAACTTATCTTGGCTAAAACAAAAAAACACATAACAAATGACATTTTAATCTTAAATGCATGTAACCGGGTCATGCATAATCAAAGTTGCCAAAACCTTAGAAACTTCTTCGCAACAATTCAAACACGTAAATATGAAGATGCCATCATTGTTTCTTTCTCAGAAAACATCTTTATGTTAAGTTTGTCTCATATCAATCAGGAAACAAACTCCAAATGTGTACCACATACACATGCATAGACCTCTAACATGTAAAAAGCTGTAACATACATACACAAACATCTATAACTAATATATACACAAAACTGTAGCATATACATACATCTATTCGAAACAAAAAATTACAAACCTGATCAGAACAAAGAACAATATCTACATAGAGACCTACCAACTCAACATGCACACATAATTAGATAAATGGCTTTTGGTGGTGTTTATGGTGGTTGTGGTTGTCCGGTGAGAGAGAGATAGAGAAATAGGAGCAATAAATAGGTAGTTTGTGGATGTCGTTTTTCTGAAATTAAACATGAGAGACACTAATATGGTGGCGTGATGGAGGTGTAGCAATGTTGGTGGCAGAGGTGCGATGTTACTTAATATGTGCTTCATGTAATGACGGTGGTGGTCGTTGCCTTTTATTGGTTGTTTATGACAACATCTAGGTTAGCTGAAATCAGGGTTTCACATAAGAGAGAGAGAGAGAGATTTAAAAGAGACGGGAGAAGTTTCTTTTATATATATATATATATATATATATATATATATATATATATATATATATATATATATATATATATATATATATATATATATATATATATATAGAGAGAGAGAGAGAGAGAGAGAGAATTGCTAATGAGAACACATTGTGTTTCTTAAAGTATAAAATATGATAAGTTGCTTTGATAGTTATATATTTATTCTGATTGGTTCAATAGCATTCACGTGGATCACTATGAAAATAATCTACACCAATCAAAAAAAAAAAAATCTAATGGTTATAATTAAGCCTACTTATTTTTAAGTTCTTAAACTTAAAAGTTAGTGGGCCTTTCGATATGTATACGTAGTAATATATATATATATATATATATATATATATATATATATATATATATATATATATATATATATATATATATATATATATATGGAAAATGCCTTAAAAGACCAATTAAGTTTCAAAAACGTTCATATTACCCCAATTACGTTTTTGTTGTTCAAAAAAAACCAACGAACTTATGTTTTTTATTATAAATCCAAATAAAGTTACGAATATAAATAACATTTTTTAATGGTGACCGGGTGACCGGCATTTGTGGGTTACGTTTCTTTGTTTACCGGTGATAATCTGACGTGGATTATTAAACCACATTACATCAAACATTAAGTGCCACATAATAGCACAAGATATCGATTCACCATCAAGGGTTCTCAGTGAAGGAAAGTTATCGATATCTAGGGTTCTTACATAACGGAACGGTGAACTCGTGTAAGTGAAATTGATTTTTACAGAAGGTGAAGGAAAGTTAGTCGATTGTGCAGCAAGGTTCTCAGCAGCAAACGTGTCTCGTGACTCACTCAACATTGATGTCTCGTGCAGCCAGCGTGTCTCGTGACTCACTCAACATTGATGTCTACCATCAAGGTGTTTTTTCTCCTAATCCCTTGGTTTACTTTCATCCTGATAAAGTACCTGTTATGGGGCTAGATGTACGTAACATGGATTTCAAGAAGTTCAAGACCTATCTCCAAAAATTGATCAACAATAGATGTCGGGATATGTATTACTGTCTTAAAAATCGGCCCCTCGTAGATGGGTTAAGGGAGCTCAGGGATGAAGATGATTATGTTAGGTTCGTTGATGCTGGGTTTGATGATGATGATAATCAAATAAGTATCTACATTGATGACCATCATGAACCCTTACTAGATTGGATTGAAGAAGAAAAAGCTGAAGAATGGGATAGTGGTACTGAAACATATGAAGATGATGTGGACTCGGTATTATCGGATGATCTATCGGTGGACCATGAAGCTGATGATGAGGACATTCAATGGCCTGAAGTTGTTGATCCTTTTTGTCACAGAAGAACCTTATTCCACAAAGAGGCATAGAGGAAGAAGCTGGTGGTAAGGTAAAAAAACATCCTATTCACGATCCAAACCAAAAATGGGACACTATGATGCCTGAGTTAGGTATGAAATTCTCTGATCGAGATGAACTGAAACATATGTTAACAAATTATGCTGTGTCTAAGGGTTATTCATTGTGGTATGAAAAAAATGAGGCAAAAGCATTGTTAGTAAGGTGCAGTAAAAATGAAAAAGGGAAGCCATCTTGCCCTTTTAGACTATGGGCTAGTCCCATGAACAAGGAAAATTCATTCCAGATCAAGTCACTAATTGATAAACATAATTGTGCTAGACAACAAAAATTGGGTTGTCTTGTTACGTATAAGTGGATTGGAAAAATGTTAATACCTGACATTTTGGAAAGGCCTAAGTTTAGCTATAGGAAAATGGCAGAAGTGGTTAGGAAAGACTATGGTCTCAAGGTAAGTCTTGGGCAGTGTAGAAATGCCAAGTACTTTGCACTAGATGAGATTTCAGGCAATTTGGTAAGCCATTATGAGAAACTGTGGAATTATGGTGCTGAGTTATTGAGGGTTAATCCTGGGTCAACAGTCTTGATCGAGACAAATCATACGCCTGATGCTACACACTACTTCAAAAGGATGTATATTTGCCTGAAGTCTATCAAGGATGGCTGGATTGAAGGATGTAGAAGGGTTATCGGTGTTGATGGCTGTTTTTTGAAGGTATTTGCAGAGGTGAGTTGTTAACAGCCGTTGGTAGGGACGCAAACAACCAAATGTATCCTCTAGCATGGGCTGTTGTGCCAGTTGAAAACAAGGAAACTTGGATGTGGTTCATTGATCTTCTACTTGAGGACATTGAGATGGGAGATGGTAGGGGTCTTACAATTATTTCAGACCAACACAAGGTATGTTATAGTTTACATTTTACTTACTTTATTATGTGTTATTATGTACTTTAAAACTGAAATTTGTTATCACCTTGTAGGGTTTAATGGAGGCTGTTAAGGAAAGGGCACCATCATGTGAGCATAGGAATTGTGCCCGACACATCTATGCCAACTTTAAGAAGAAGGGGTTCACGGGTGTTGAGTTTAGGAGGTTATTTTGGAGTGCTGCAAAGGCTACAACCGATTCCAATTTCCGATCATACATGAGGGAAATTCGTACAATGTCCACAGAAGCTTATGAGCACCTGATAGAAAGAGACCCAAATACATGGTGCAGAGCATTCTTTGAACCTCAGACTTGTTGTGATGCGGTGGAAAACGGTATATCTGAATCTTTCAATGCAGCAATTGTAGAGGCCCGGAAGAAACCAATAATAACAATGCTGGAAGAAATCAGATTGTACGTGATGGAGAGGATGTACAATCAAAAGATTAAGGGGCATAAGTGGGACATGGAAATCTGCCCCTCTATTAAAAGAGGATTGAGAAGATGAAAGAAGAACAAAGGTATATTATTTAATTGTAAGTGATTTAATATGAAATAACTTACCTTCTTAATATGATTTCAGGTACTGGGATGTTATTCCAAGTGGCGAGGAAGAATATGAAGTGAAATTAGCCCATGAAGTTTATGCTGTTCACCTTGAAAGCAAAACTTGTGGCTGCAGAGCCTGGCAACTCAGTGGTATCCCTTGTGTGCATGCCATTGCTGCTATATTATACCTGAATGGAAATGCAGAGGACTATGTAGCCGTATGGTTTAAAACAAGCATGTTTGGAAGTTGCTATAGGTATCCAGTCAAACCAATAAATGGAGCTAACATGTGGCCTGATGTTCTATTTGATCCCATATTACCACCTCGGCGTAGGAGAATGCCAGGAAGGCCCAAAGTAAACAGAATGAAATGTCCTACAGAAAATGAAGGAAAGCATAAAATTAACAAGACAGGGATGTCCATCTCAAGATGTAGTAATTGTCATCAAGAAGGACACAACAAGAGGCGATGTCCATTGCTCAAAGAAGGTTCGTTTTTATTTTGATTATTCATTCATCTACATTTGTATAATAATTATTATTTTTGTTTTAACAATGCAGCAAATAAAGCAACTGTTAGTGAAGGGGATGTTGAAGAAGGGATTAGTCAAGATGGGGTTAGTGAAGTTGGAATTGGTGAAGAAGAGGCTGTTGAAGAAGGCGATATTGAAGACCACCAGGAGGATGAAATTGAACAACAAGAGGATGAGATTGACCATCAAGAAAATCATCACCATCAGCATCAACCTGTTTTTTTTCAGCATTTTGTTGCGAACAAAAGGCGATTACCTTCTGAGAGGATCACGAAACTGAAGTTAAGGAAGAAGGTGGTAACAAAAGATGGAAGTGGGGAAAGTACTGAAAATCCAGTTACTATAAACTAGGATAAGTGTGTTCTATTAGGATTATGTCAGATACTTTGAAATGGCACATCTTTTGGTGCTTAGTGCACATCTTTTGGTGCTTAGGCTTGTCTTTTTGATGCTTAGGCTTATCTTTTGGTGTTGTGCACATTTACCAACATTTAGTGCCATGTGCACATGCTTGATTATGTGGTTTAATTATGCTTTCATATGTAGTTTATTACCTTTTATGCATATTATAACAATGTACCATTTTGCCCCTATTTGTTAAAACTATGTTAAAATTGGTAAAAACTGTTTTGTGGGACTATTTTGTCAATAAAATTGCCCTTGTGTTTAAAAACCATTTACAACACAAATTACATGCATAATGTCAAACACAGGTTTTATGGACTATTTTGCCCTTCCTATTATCATTTGATAAAGTGTAATCTTATTATGGACTATTTTGCCCTTGCTATTTTCAATCAATAAAAAGTATGTTGCTATTATGTGTGTTTTCAATAAAACTGCCCTTGTGTTTAAAAATCATTTACAACACAAATTACATGCATAATGTCAAACACATGTTTTATGACTATTTTGTCCCTGTTATTATCATTTGATAAAGTGCACAGGTTTTATGGACTATTTTGCCCTTCCTATTATCAATCAATAAAAAGTATGTTACTTTTATGGACTATTAGCCTTCATAAACACCTTCTATGTGTATCAGTCTTCACAAATACCTTCTTTTCATTCCCACTTCGTAACCATTTTACATGAGTACAATGCAACCACTTTGAATATACATATCCTGATAATTTCAAAGTACATTTTCCTTACATAATAAACTTAACACTAAATCATGTACTTCACTACAAACAAAACAACAAACATCAACACTAAACATTTCATTTTATCCAATTCCTTTCTAAAACTCTTACATTCCTTATCAATCTTCATCTTATACTCACTGAAATCATGTTCCAATATTGCAATCTTCACTTCAGTATTGAAATCATGTTCTTCATCTTTCTTATTCTCGTTCTTGGTTATAATTTCTTCATCATCATCAACCCATTCCCAGAAATCACATTTATCCTTTGGATCCTTCATCTTCAATTATAACATAAACAAACAATATTGTAGCATGAAAAACAAAAAGGGACCCAAACAAGAACAAGCTTTTAGATATATACTTACCAAAGAGTTAGGGAAACCCTAAATTTTTTACCAGGATTTGCCTTTGTTGTTGATATCCAGATGCGAGAAGGAAAC